AGAGTAGACTCAATTTCTTGGTTGATCATAGTGGATAGTAATGGAATAAAAAATATTTAAAAGAGCAACAACAAAAATAAAAACTTGGGCTAAATGCATTAGAATGGGTGAATCTGGATAGAGATGTCACATATACACACACAAATAAATTTCCACTTGCCACTTAATGAAAAAAGTCATTGCTTTTCCCATTATTCCAAAGTAATTAGCAAGCATTCACTAATTTGTTTAATAAATTTTCTAAGGATGCTTGAAAGAACATTCTTTTTGCAACTAAAGCAAGGTCATTGCTAAGAAATTGTACATCAAATATAATTACTCAAAGAATTTACAGTGAATAACAGAAACAATAAATGCATTTAATTCCATATGCCCACTGTTCATTGAATTCCTACTGTACAGTGGCCCTGTACAAGAAATACTGAAGTGAATAAGAGATAGTTCTTAATGTCCAGAGTTTTATTTCCTGGAGCAGTATACTATAATACAATATACTATAATACAGGGAGACAGCTCATAGACTACTGCATGCACAATGTTTTCACACAAAGGAGGGAGTCACCCTAACAGAATGTTGAAGGTAGAATCCAGGTGATAAAGATGGTGTTTTATTTGAACTTTAAAGTTTGGCAGCAATTAATAGATTTGGTGCAATACAGAAATATTGTCAATGAATGGGAAGTGATGTGTGGGTGAGAGAGTGAGATTACACTAGTTGTGGGACAGAATGGGCTGCAAAGGTAGGCTGGCTTAATATTGGGGGGAGGTCTCAGATTCCTAATTTTGTATGTGCATTGGTGTTATAGGTAAGACTTCAAACAGAGGAACAAAGTATAAGATCAATGCTTTGAAAAGATAATGTAGATAACAATGAGGAAAGATAGAAGGGACTAGAAGAAAATCAGCTAAAAGGAGTGTCAGGATGAATTAGGAGAATAACAATAAGGAGATGCTTGTTTGGTGAGTGAGCACAGACATTTAGAAAAACAGAAATCACATGGAAGGGTTTGGAACTGAGCTTTTGAATGTTTTAAAACTATTCCCAGTTCTCGACTTTCGTATTCTTTTGTGACCCCTTGCTGAATCACTTTGATTTCTTCTTATCTTCTGTAGCATTATATTGCAAGGCCTACTGCATCATTTCTTCTTTCATTTTGGGCTGTTGATCCTTGACTTGTGATTATTAACCTAGAAATGAATCTCTCAGAGGAGGCTCAGTTGCTGGTGTTATCTCAGTTTCCTTGCAGTGGTCTGTGTCAAGGGAATTTGTTTGGAAAGTAAAAAGTATATCTTTGTGCTTTTGGCAAATAGAATCAAGACTCTATCTTTCTCTGCTACACTTAACACCCTTTTAATGTCCCGATCATTCTAACCCTTTCAGTTTCAGTTTTCTCTGTCTTGAGAGTGCATGAATCCGTGTTATTGTACCATGACAGTCTGACTACCACTTCAAATACTGAGTTGTGGCAACTCCTAACTACACTGCTGTCTTTTAAATATTAGAGAAATAGAAATAATCTATAACATACGACTTTCATCTCTTTCCTGGAAACACCTGTTTGGTTTATTTTGAAATTCTAAATTAACTTTTTGTAAGTACTTTTTTGTCCCTCTTCTAACAAAAGCAAAAGTTAGGGTAAACAATACTTGAGAGTTTATTGTGTCATGAATTAATGGTACACCAACTTAAATATGTACTGCGATTTTAATTTTATTACATAATGAGTTAAGTTCCTAGTGTGCTTTTATCTAATATGTGTATTTATGTATATGCATAAAATAGAAAATGACTTTCCAGAAAGAAAAAAGTTGTCAATATCTTCAAAGTGTATTTTATTTAAATATAAAGTTGCAATTCTTTTCCTCTACTGCCATGGTTCATTTTGAAAAAAAAATCAATAATAATGCTGATAATAGGCTCCATAAAGGCTAATTTCATAAGTATCAGTGTTAAAGAGAAAATTAGAGTTCTTCAAATATTAAAAATCAAAGAAAGCATAAGAAATCTTGAAATTAACAGCACTTTTGCAAACTAACGTTTTCCTTATGTTCTATATTTAGTTGATTTGATGTCATTTATACATTTTAGTTGATGTATTTTGTTATTTAACAAGTAATTAACTGTTCACCTTAAAATCTTAAAATAATTCCAGATCTTCTATGATATACAACTGTACGTACAAGGTCCAGTATTCAAGTTTTTATGCAGATTATCATTGCTCTCTGAACTAACTTCAAATTATACCCATACTATTTATTCAAGCAAGTCACCGATCAGTTTAAATACACCATAATTTGTTTCAATAAGAGTGTTCATCCCTAACTTGTAGAAAATACACATAGCAGTTCTTGCTTGGAAAAATGATCATGTAACAATTTAAACAATGTAAGAAATGAACCTTGGAACATGTCTTGCACATGTGCTTCAAACAAATACAGATTTTACACAAGCTTCTTTCATTTGTACTAAGTGTGTTTAAAACATGGATAATGTTTAGCTAAGGAATCCATGATGAAACTTCAAAGTGGCGAGGAGTCGAGGCAGTGTACTTGCTCATTCATATAGTGTTTACAAGCACATGAGATATGCAATATATACAAACTCACTAGACAACTACATTTGTTTTTAGGTTCAATGGTAAATGGATGGGGCTCTGCATCTGATGAGGATCGTAACTTTTCTAGTCATAGATCTAGTGTAGGTAGCTCCTCAGATGGTTCCATATTTGCCAGCGGCAGTTTTGCACAAGCACTGGTGGCAGCAGCAGATAAAGCTGGTTTTAGGCTGGATGGAACCAGCCTTACAAGAAAAGGTTGGTAGACTCCAAAGTCAACACTCTTTGCATGAGAGAATCTTGTCCTTGGGACACTGACCTTTTTTCTCCTCTTCTTTCTCAGCAAGTCTGACTGCAGGGCTCTCTGTAATATGCATGAACATTTGGGATGCTCTGTTGTCTGAACTCTGTCCTGATGCAAGTTTTGCAGAGCCAGAATTAGGCTCCAACTTACTACCTTCTATCCTTAATATTCCTTTCTCTTCACGGTTCTGCTGATTAATTGGAATACACTTCCTTTTTATATTATGGCAAATCAGCAACTCAGATTGCCATTAAATTTTCAATAACTCACACTTTGCAAAATCTGCACACATTAATAATGAACCTAGTGATTGAAATTATTCAGCTTTTATCTCCATTACTTTCCTTTGCCCCATCTCTTTCTACAAATGCAGTTTCTGGGAAGCCTTCCTCAGCATGGGGTGAATGGGTGTAAGGCTTTCAGTCTAACAGTTCAAATGGCTGAGGGTCTTATTGTTTGGCTAAGATTTTAATACAATAATTTATTATATGTTTTAAAGGATGCTAATTAAAGATACACCTACTGCATTTGCAAGTTGAATAAAATGATGACTACATGTATATTGTACTTTAGAGAATTTAATATTGATTTCTGAGAGTAATAAGTAATAATATAAAGGACCAATTATGTCATTTTTCACATGCTGCTCATTCCACAAAAAGAAATGCAGTCTTAATTCTAAAAATAGATTAGCAGTTTGTAATCATTTGTTTTTCTGGAAAAAAACCCCAACAATTTGGCATGATTATGCTCTAATATTATATGTACTTCTTAACTTCACGTTTAGGATGGTAATATATGAATGAATTAAACTGAGCTCTCTTACAAAACTAATGAAATATCAAATGCATTTTTAAATCTTTGTAGTGTTCAAATATTAAATAAAAGTGATATACTCCTGATCTTCATTAAACTCTCAGATTATAAAAGTGAGCCTTGGAAATTGTCTTGAATTATATCATCAATATTTAATTTGAGCATGTATTAGATATCTTCAAGCAAAATAAAAAAGATTTCTCAAGCATTGCAGAGGTTTATTTTCATATAGCATCCAAACTAAAATATGTTGTAATATAACTGTTATTTGAATTTTCTTGCTTTATAAAGCATAAGTCAAAAACTTTATGTTGCCTGAGTGCTTTTTGTGGCATTAGCTGTAAGCAGAACAGTGAGAAAGTGTAAGGAAACTAATAAATTAGACAGAATAGGTGCATTTCTTGCATGTATGCTAATAGCTAATAAAGCATTAAGCAACATCATGTCACATTGACTTAGGAAAATGAAACTACATATGATAAGTTTGTATGAAATGAAAACATGACAAGAGAATAAATATATGAACATAAACCATCCTTCTCTTACTATAATAAACAGTATTAAAAGATGTTTTTGAAAATGTATTAGGTAACCTTTTCCCAGAATAAATTTCACTTCTTTTGTACTAAACCACAAGAAAGGGAAATAGTACAATTCATTCGTCCATGAGAATTTGAAGTCTGCTCAGATACAGTAATCACAAAATACCTACTTCACTTTGGATATACAAGGTGATTTTAACCTGCTATCCTCTACACTGATGTTATTGAGTTTCCACTAAGAGATAGAATTCATTTTGTTTGCATATAAGTGGTAAAGTCAATTTAGCATATGTACCTGAGCAGACTTTTCACATAAAACTACAAGGCATTTTTTACTGTACTCAGATTTTGTAAAATTTCAGGGATGAAATTTGATTAAGCAAATGAAACAGTGTGCAATTCATTTAAGAAATAACCTCTTTAATTTTGAGAAATAATGTTTCATGAATTTGCATATAACTATAAAATTATCACTAAGATTTTCAAGGTAATATAAAAACTAATCAAGCAGTATGAAGCTTTGGATTGGTGGATTTGTATTATGTTCAATTGTTTGAAATATTTTTGTGGGTGGGGTGTTCTTAGCTTATAAAAATTGAACACATTATATGTAGCAGGGCATGTATTTATTTTTGTAGGTGCACCAATATTTGGTATCTTCCAATGGCATCTCTAGGTAGGTTCACAGATTTAGCCTTAGGAAGAGCAGAAAATACAAGACAGACATTATCAGTGCATTACAATGACATTCCCTATACCCCATTCCCTTTGTTTTCTTTCTAGGAAAAGCCTTTACCTCCTCTCAAAGACCTCGACCCACCAGCCCGTTTTCTACTGACAGTAACACGAGCGCAGCCCTGAATCAAAGTCAGAGGCCCAGGCCCACCAAAAAACACAAGGGAGGGCGAATGGACCAACAGCCAGCACTGCCTCACCGAAGGGAAGGAATGACAGATGGTAGGCTGATTTCTGTTCCTCTTCTTTCCTCAATGAAGAGATGCATTCTACGCGGTCATTAACTCAGATTAAAATATCTATGGTAGATTAGGCATTGCCTCATTACATACAAGGCAGAAACCTGGCAAAATGGTCTTGCTTACATGAAACACCCTCTCTCTCAACAATCTGGAATTATGTCTTTATGATCAATCCCCAAGAAAGAGAAGCTGTACCACTCTTAACTGTTGTTTTTTCTACCCTTCTGGCATTTTTCTTTATTGCATTTTAGCAAACATTCCACTTTAAGGTTAGGAAAAAAAAAATAAGCAGCATGTGTACATGTCATAGTATCAGAACATTTATGATATGAAATTATAATCTCTTTCACTCTTGGAAAAGAACTTCAAATGGTTTAGTAATTTTTTTTTAGTTTCGTGAATTTCAGAGCTTAAAAACATGCTAGCGGTCATGTAGTTGGAGAGTGTCTACTTGGGCTGCTATAACAGATGATCATAACTTTATAAACAGCAGAAAGTTTCTAAACAACAAATATTTATTTCTCATAGTTCTCTGGGCTAATATTAGTGGAAGTACAAAGATCAAGGCACTGACTGATTTGGACTCTTTTGAGGGATCACACTCTGGTTTACAGATGGTACATTTTTATTACTTCTCACATGATGGAACAGACCTCTCTGGGGTGTGATTAATAAGGGAACTAATCCCATTCATGAGAACTTTACCTTTATGATCTCATGAAGCCCTCATATTCCAATACCATCATCCTGGGGTTAGGATTTCAACAGATGAATTTTAGGGATGTAGCCAACGTATGTCAATTAATTGAATAGCCAATCTTTGAATATTTGTTTAAATAGTTAGTTTCAGAAAACATTATTACTGGAAGGTATCCATGGTCAATAATGAGTATGTCAAGAGCTCTCAGAGCATAGTCTATTTCCCACATTTTCCACTTAATTATTATATCTTTTAAAGTCTGAATAAAAATATTCATCCTGAAGCTTTATTCTAAGCACATATGAAGTATATTTAAGGATATATAATTATATTTAAAGTGCCTAGAATACAGTGAGACTCAAAAATTTTGAGTTTCTTCCCTCTTCTCAACCTTATCTTCCATAAGCATACAAACTTTATCTGAGATTGTCCAACTAAACACTAGGATTAACCTAGCCATGCTGAATGTTGGAAACATTTGGGGAGATCTTCAAATAAACCATGGAGACATTCATGATTATTCTGAGGTATAATCCTATTATAGGAAGTTTTGAAGCTCCATGGGTTAAATTTAATGTACATCCAGCTTTGAGAAGCTATGACCTAGTCCTTAGCACTCTTACATCCATCATTATGAAACAGAATGAAGCTTGTTTGGGAAAAAAAGCATTTTCCTTTGTGGGAAGGGGCACTCTGTGTCAGGAAGCCATCTTTGTGCTTTCTTTTGTCACCGTGTAATGCTAAGAAGGCTTAAAAAAGCCAAACATGCTTGTTCTAAAAGCTTTCAGGTTTGTTCATATATCCTGCTTATTTTGTTTTCATTGGGAAGTGTTTCTATGGAATATGAAGGTTAAGGGTCCAATTGAGTTTTTCATTCTCTCTAAATAGATACCCTGTGGTGAACAAAACCTTTCTGCTTCAAATGCTCTGGAGATTAGTTGAGCACTTAGAACAGTTTGCAGTGTTGATCTTATTCACTCTAAATAGAAAAGACTGCTCTCACTGATATGCTACTCACAACTTTGAGAATTAATAATTTTATATATTTTTTCTGCTCAGAATATTGTGGCAACAGAAAAAAATATAGTGTGTTCTTTTTACAAATCTTTGAAGACCATATGTAGTATATGTGGATGGTATAAAATTTAAATATACAAAATAGAGTGTTCTTTTTTCTTCTATAATCCTTTTTCTGCAAGATTTTTCAATATGTTCACATAAAACTATCTTCCTCCTAGTTTAAATCATGACCAATATATTGCTTATCTTTCTAAAAAAAATAGGTCCCTAAATTTCAATTTTGAAAAGTGATTATGAATTATGTGTTATTAGTAGATATATTTTAAGTGATATTGCAAAGGAAATTTGGCTCACATATCTTCCCACATGTGCAATCCAGACACATTTAATTGTGAAACAAGGACATTTATTTTGGAGGCCTTAAGAATATTGTTATTTTACAATAAATGCTTATGACATGGCACTTACATGATATGAATCCATGTGTCAGGAATAATTCATAACTTCTTTACATAAAATCAAACTGCTCTTTTTGGGAAGATTGCTGCCTAGTAGTTTATAGTGTATGGACACTTTACAATAAAACTTTTACATTATAGATTTTACAATAGTGTTTTATGGCTATATTAATTAGGGTAATTATTGCTAGCTACTTTACCAAACAACCTCTAACCCTCAGTGTCTTAGCACAGTAAAAGATACTTTCTTATTGGCACACTCATCTATCAAGGTCAGGTGGCTCTCCTCTAAGCAGTAATGTAAGGGTGTTTAGGCCTCTCCAGGATTGAGATGTCATTATTTTCAGAAATCTTTATGGTTTCTGAGTGAGGCAAAGACAGATAATGGGTGATCATTGGGAGTTTCTAATAGCAAGAAACTATGTCATGTCTCATATGTCATTATCAAAAACTCTCTCCCATGGTGTCTCGTACTAGAAAGTATCCTCCATGTGTCCCAGAAGAAGAATTGGAATGGATATTTCCGTGTCTGTCCCAAAAGCTATACCAAAACCCAGGTACACCTAAGGAATCATTGATGAATCCACATCTTCTATCCACTTGCATAATGAAAAAATACCTTTGAAGCTAACACACTGAGTAAAAATTGGCAGTTCTCTACCCAACACACTGATTTTCCTTAGACTACATCCTCCCAACCTGTGTTCCCTTTTCCCTGGTTTTTAATGCCCTGTTCAGAAAAGGGGCCCTTTCTAAGCTCTGTCAAATACTAGCTTTACCCCTTAATATATATATTAAGTATATTCCACATGGTAGGCAATAGGAGCCAGATAGACAAAAATCCTCTGGTTTCATGGAGCTTACATTTGAGTGTAGGAAGATAGATAAAGACCAACAGTAATACATGAATATAAAAAAGCAGTTGATAAGAAGGTGATCATTGCCATGAGGAAAAAGACAAAAGGGAAAGAAGTTGAGAAATATGGAGGTAGGGAAGAGATATTTTTAAGAATGTTTTTTTAGGGAAGGCCTCACATACAAGGTGACATTGGAGAAAAGACTAGAAGAATGAAAGCAAAGATATCTAAGGAAAGGTCCTTCGAAGACATAAGAAAACAGCAATAAAATCTGGGGCTTATTTACCAAAAATGTTAGGGGAGAAAAACGACTAGAGCAAGCATAAAAACAAAATAGAACATGAAGTCAGACAAGCAAAAGAGCACATGTGATGTAGGACCTTGAAGCTGCAGTGATGCAATCAGCCTTACAGTATGTTGAGTGGGAAGCTACTGGAGAGAGGGGCGGGGGGTGGGGGGGAGCAGAGGAGTGACATGATCTTCTCTGTTTTTCTTTTTAAAAAGATCATCTCCACTGTTGTGTTATATTTAATGGGGAAAAGGTGTAAAACAGATCACATACATAGGAGGCTGTAGAAGCAACATAGGGGATAGACAATGGTGGTTCATACCAAGTCAGAAATAAGTGAAAGAGACAAGAAGTGAGGAATTCTGGAAGTGGTGCTCACAGGTCTTGTTAATAAAATTAGTAAAGCAAAGCTTAAAGGTCACTTCATAGCTTTGGTGAACTTGTAGGATGAAATTGCCACAGGTGGAGCATGCAAGACACACATTTTATAAAGGAGGAACTAGATTTCAGTTCTGATATGTGCAATTTGAAAAGCTTTCTAAATATCCAAGTGGAATTGTCCCATGTAGATTTGGTTAGAAGAGTCTGCAGTTCATGGGAGGAAAGATCCAGAATGGAGATACTTCATTTCTTTGTGGTCCCAGTTTCTCAGCTAAAAAATGAAGACAATAACAACACTTGTGTCATGGGATTGTGGTCACCTGACAATAGCTAATTCTCAGTAGGCTAGTAAGATACTCTTTAGTGAATTGACTTAGTTGAAATGAATCAACCTAGAATTGAATAATAAATTTAATTTAGATAAAATGTATTTGATTATATATTTTTATTTTTCTATAGCCATTTGCAATTCCATTTCCCTTTCCCGTTGGTTTATTTCAATGTGCTTGCAGTGCCCTTTCTTCTTAGAAGACACAGTCTTCAAGGATATTACTTAATTATGAAGCTATATAATTTCAGGTTAAATTAAATAATCTTCAGAATTTTAGCTGGCATAAGCAGATACCATTTTGACCATTTTAGAAATTAAGCTGCTCTGATGGAGAGTAAAAATCAATGATAAGATCTGTTATTTTGGAAGCAAATTTTATAATTTCTCCTTGCTGTCTTTCTAAGACCAATAACTCAAATGAAATAATTAATTTGCATTTATAATAATGTTTAGTGATGGGAGTCCCAAACTCATTGGATTATCCAACAAAGAGTTATCTCAACATTACATTAGCTTTTCATCTTGGAAGAAATATTTGGAATAAAACCTTATTTTCCCAGACAGAGACACTGTTCCCCTCAATAATTAGAAATTCATAATATAATGTGAAAGGTATACATAAGAACTAGTAACCATCCAACCTGGGTGCTCCAGATTCTCTGTGCAGTGGAGAATAATATCATTTTGCTCCTAAGACAAAGTATAAATCTTAGAATGACCAGTTTAACATTTCTTTGAAAAAGCTATTTTTTGTATATAAGAAATTTATACTTTTCCCATTAAAATTCATAGATAATATTATTAGAAATAAGAACCTGGTTATAAAAGTGTCATAACAATGCTATATTAAGTACAGTATCTTCTAATTAATGAAATAAATACTATACATGATTTTTGCTTTTTATGAATAAATAACATAATTGCCAATACTCTAAGGATAAACTAAGAAGTACGCAATAGCATACACAAAATCACAATAAATCAAGCTAAATGAATATTTAGAAGGATTTAAAAATTATTTTAAAGCTGGGTGTTGTGATGCTCACCTATGATACCAGTGACTCAGGAGGCTGAGGCAGGAGGGTCACAAGTTTGAGGCTGGCCTCAATCATTAGCATTTAATGAGACTCTCAACAACTTATGAAACCTACCTCAAAATAACAAATAAAAATCACTGGGGATGTAGCTCAGTGTCAAAATTCCCCTGAGTTCAATGCCCAGTACCAAAGGAAAAAAAATAAATCATTTCAGCTAGTGTAATATTTAAGGAAGGAAATATGATTTCACAGTGGAAGATTTTCAAGACACAAAGCTGAAGATATGAAGAGCTAAGAAAAGGAAAATGAAAAATTTGCTGATACTTGAACTTTTAAGTTTTTCATTTCCGATATTTAATTTAAAAAGCGTTTCTGAAAAATTATCTATTCCACTACTTCTCAAATTTCCATGATATATTGCCAACTCTAGTACCATAAAGCATTTTCAATCTGTATGCTGAACATTGGTTATTACTTATTAAAATTAATACATTGGAAGATTATAATATATTAGTTGTAACTCATTAGCTAACTCATGAAACGAATAGCCAGAATTGGTTGTCAGGCAGAATGTTAATTGCATTTAATAAATGTTAGCTTAACCCTTTGACTATTGCTAAATGTGCCACATACTTGGGTAAAGGCAATCATATGTTGCATATGATACGGCATATAGTTCTTAATTTCCCAAGGGTGATGTTTCCTATGGAGATTGGCAGGCTGGCTTTTGTTCTTTTATTAGCACAGCTGCTAGAATTTCTAGTGATCTTATTATTTTATTTTTTTGCCATAGTATTTCTACTTTGAAAAGGGAAGGATGAAAATGAATTATGACCCTTAAGTTGCCCTTTAACCTTGAATGTTAGCGCCAGTGTGCAATTGAAAACACTTTCCATGTTTAACAGTTGGATGAATCCAGTCAATTTGATTTCAATGATGCTGTGGTAGAAGACAGCAGAGATACCAATAATATGCATTTTACATATCAATAATTGACTTTTATTTTTCTCTGTTTTTTTTTTCTTTTGTTTGTTTTTATTTTTTGCATGGGTGATACTTGTATGAGGGCAAGAGCTTTTTTTTTTTCCAACTTGAACTAAAACCTGTATTTTTTCATTAAATTTTAGTCCATTCTAAACATTATTCAAAATTTTTAGATCTTCCACCACCACCAGATCCCCCACCAGGTCAGGGTTTAAGGCAGCAAATAGGCCCGAGCCAGCATGCTGGTCATGTGGAAAACTCAACAGAGAGAAAAGGAAGCTCTCTAGAGAGACAACAAGCCTCCAGCTTAGAAGACACAAAGAGCTCCTTGGATTGTCCAGCCAAAACCTCCCTAGAGTGGCAACGACAAACCCAGGAATGGATAAGCTCCACAGAACGCCAAGAAGACATACGGAAAGCCCCACACAAACAAGGGGTTGGATCAGGTGTGTTCTGCACAGTCCCAAGCAAGTGTGGGCTGTGACCCTTTTATTTTCTACCAGGTATTCTAGAAATGGCAGTTGTTTAAGGGCATCCGAGAGATATTTGCCTTAAGTCAGTAAGTGAAGTTGGAATTTCTCAAGCAGAGCTCACAGGCACGTTCCTTGAGACTGATTACAGTGGTGATTGCTCCTCAAATTAACCTCTCCATAGGTCTTTGAATCCAAGAGATCTCCAGCCTTCATCTATGGTCTCAGGAGACAATTTTGGCTTTTTTGCCTTTTACTGTTTCTATTGAGTAGCTTTAAGACCACTAAATTTCAGCTTTTGTGTCAGTTTAATCTCTACCTTCAAGGAGATTGTCATTTTGACAGAAGTAATCAGTCACTTGAAAGGAGAGCTCCTGTCAGTCAATTAGATGAATTAATTGAGATTATAAATTTACAAGTAAATGCCCAACCACAGACCTCATGTTGGAAAAGGTTAACTGATTAAATGTAGATGACTGTTCACATGGGGACAAGAAATGCTCTTGTTTACAAATCACACTTCCTGGAAATGTTGGAACATAAATTTCATGGTTTCCGATTGGACATTAATTAGGGGTGGGGCTATTGCATTTTTTGGAATATCTTGCATCAGGATTTACTGAGTATTAATAAACATAGACACATGCACACAACTTTTGAAACATATTCCTTATTCATTTGGACTCAATCTTTATTAGACAAGTCCTCTCCCCATGCATTTCTGTAACTACATTTTGTTAGAACACTGTGCTCAAGTTTTTGAAAAATTCAATTTGTGCAAGGGCCAGAAGATGACAATTTCAATATCTAGATTTACTGAAATGTTTAGGAATGGTTGACCATTCAAGCTGTGAGAGAAAAATTATGTGATCCCTGTCATTAAAGACTATCTAAGGCAAGAAACAGTAAATTCAGCCAACATTTTTTCATCATCTAATCACTTGTTAATGGCCAATACCTCAAAAGAAAGAAAGAAATAGAGTTAGTTGGGGTGGAAAGGAAGATGTGGAGAGATGAAAGGAAAGAGCTAGAGAAAGACAGGAAGAGAGAGGTAAGAAATAGAGGAGGAAAGAAGAATGAAGGAAGGATGCAAAATATTAAATAATTATTCATAATGTATTTGATCAGTTATTTGCAGGGAGACAATATATAAAAATGAATATTATCACATTTGTTAAAATTGGGTGGGTTTCTCTTTTTCTTTTAATGAAATTCCTAGCCTTTCAATTCATATATTTGTGTCCCAAGCAACAACAGAAATTTAAGAAGCTTATTTAATTAGCTAATACATAATTTTTTTATCTAAATTGATTGAGGAAAATATTGCTGTGGTTTAAAACAAAACCACATTCCTTCTGTTTTGATAGGAATATTGAAGCCTCATTGAACTCTAGAAATTATTTGAAGATATGCTTTTCTTTTGAAACAAAGTAGTTCACTGTAAGCTGCTCTCTTTTATAATGAATTTAAGTTTTGCAAATAATATACAACATTGTATACTTATCCCAAGATCTCTTTTAATTTAATCCTGCTTCAGTTCCTATTGTAGGAAATGTTGCTTGCACATGGAAATTCCTTTAATATCCGGTCTTGATTAAACCTCCTAATTTTAATTTTACTAAAGAACGAAATAGTAAAATGGTCCATTCTGAGCTTAACTTGTAAGAGTTAAATTTGTGTCATTTTCCTGGGCTTCAGTTCAATTTAGCCCTTTATGTTTTTTTTTTTTTTTTTTCTTTTTCTTTTTCAGAGGAGGCCTTGGTGCCCTATAGCAAGCCCAGTTTCCCATCTCCAGGTGGCCACAGCTCATCAGGAACAGCTTCTTCTAAAGGATCCACTGGACCCAGGAAACCGGAGGTGTTGAGGGGAGGCCACCAGCGCAATGCCAGTGACCTTCTTGACATAGGATATATGGGCTCAAATAGTCAAGGACAGTTTACAGGTGAATTATGTAAGTGTTTTAGGTCACTGAAAAGGCTACCATAGCCAAGCATGGTGTGGCAGAGCTGTAATCCCTATGACATAGGAGGCTGAGGTAGGAGAATTCCAAGTTTCAAGCCAGGCTCAGCAATTTAGTGAAACCATCAGCTACTCAACAGGACCCTGTCTCGAAAAATAAAAGCCCTGGGGATATAGTTCAATGGTAGCTCATCCCTGAGTTCAATCCCCAGTACCAAAATAATAAAAATAATGGTTTATTGTGATTCAGAAAGAATATTAGATTAATAATATTTTCATATTAAACAAATTTAAGAATGATAGAAAACTTTCCCTGTTACAGGAAAAAAAATCAATGATTTTTGAACAAGTTTGGTCATAACATAGATGATTGCTATTTACAGCAGGTCAATGACATAAATATTTCATGTATATTTCAAGTTGATTTATGCCAAGTAAGAACTACTTTAAACATGGTGGTGTATACCTGTAATTCTAGCTACCAGAGGCTGAGGCAGGAGGATCACAAGCTTGAGGACAACCTCGGCAACTTAGTAAGACCCTGTTTCAAAATAAAATATAACAAAGGCTGGGGATGTAGCTCAGGATAGAGCACCTTTGGTTCAAACCCCAGTACCAAAAAACAACCATAAAACAACAAAAAATTGTTTCAGTGAGGGCAATTAGTCTCAACACTTACAAGTTAAATTAAATGTAGTTCACTGGGTACTTTTCTTGCTCTTTTAAACTCAACACAGTAAAAAAGGGAAAAATTTCTGGCCCTTGGGTACTTTAAAGAGTCTTCTTAGGAGTTCCTCCTACTCTTCATTTATTTGCTCTTCATTCATTTTTTTTTTTTTAATTTATGGAGTCAGTCTTAAAAAAATTTGATCTTTGATTTGAGTTAGTTCACAATATTTTGATTATAATGATATAGCTATTGATTAAGTTTATCTTTTTGAATGAAGAACTGGCATTGGTTTTCATATTTTCTAAATATAAAAATATGAGGTAATGGTGAAAAATAGGGATGTCACAGTACGTCCAATTAAAAACATTGAATTTGTGTTAATTTCATCAGGAAATTTACCAACTCCCTATTCCCTATCAGAATGATGCCTGCTTAACATTGTCAACTGCTTCTTTGAATTCAGCTTAACCAAGGTTGTTAAGAGAACAGCCATAGCTTCTAATGTTCTCAACCACTTGCCTGATTATGGCTCATGAGAAGACAAAGCTACTTTTCTGATCTCTTGAATTCCTCATGGAAAAATAGTTTATGATCACCATTATGCTCACATCACAGGCTGGAGGAGGTCATGAGATGATGAAAAGGGAAAATAGTTTCAAACTTGTTGTTTATGGATCTGAGTTATCATGATTGGCTATTATCAATCTGATCAGTATTAAGATTTATTTATAATTTTTCATTTGGCCCATGGGTACTTGAAATTTTGTTTAAATTTTATATTGAAATAATCGTAGGTGTGCAAGGAGTGAAAAAAAAATAGCTCTAGTTGAATTTTAAATCTCCAGATTCTACAGTGTTTTTATTTTCCTTGTTTCTCTGGTTCAACGAAAATGAATTGCACAAACTCACCAAGATCTTTCTGATGACTTCATCTTCATTTACTATCCGGTTGCTCTGATTTTGATTATGCGGGTCGGGATAGAAGAATGCATCATTTAACTCTTGAGCTTTATTCCTGACTTTTGTTTCCATCTCTTTTTAGAGTAACTGAGAGGAGACATACAAAGCTGCTCTGAAAGGACCATCAGGTCCCAACTCATGGACGTGATGACACTAAACAGTGCAATGAACAATTTCTTTTATTTATGTACTATTAAAAGAACTGTAAATGCAATGTAAAGACACACAGCCACACATATCCCACAGATATTTTACTTGTGTTCTTCTCTTAAGTACACCACCCACCTTAACTCTTTCTTGTCAGGAGTATATAAAAAAAAAGAAAGAAAACAAAACTCGCCCTCCAGGAAGAAAAGGATTTTCCTCTGTATATAATTTCTTTTGTGCATTGCTATGCAAGCTCACTCTTTTTAGCTCTGTTCCTATTATTGTCTGTTCTTATTGGTCTGTTGTACTATATGTGAATTAATAGGCTGTGGTGCCATATATTAACTTTTAATTGTGTAACTTTTATGTTTAAATTTTGCACTGCAATTTTATTTGGTGATAAGCACAAATCTCTACTCCTCATGACATGAAGAAAAGATTGAATGTGAAGGGGGTTTCTGTACTGTAAGCTAGGTTGGATAATGCTGGTGTTACCCATCCTGTTAGATGGTTTTCAGTTGGGGTGTAGAAATAGGAAGATGCAAAGGAACAATGGTGTTGGCAAAGTCTGAACATCAGGAATTGAGTCTGTTTTTAAGAGAAGAAAGATGGATTTTGCTATTGACAAAAGCAAGGGGTCAAAAGAAGGAATTTTAAGTCTTTAGACTGAATATGCATTAAAATATGCAGGTAGCAAAGATGTACTAAACTTGCTTTTAAAAAAGATAATTAAAGTTTTATTTAGAAACAACTTTACCTGTCATTGTAATTGACCCATCTGAGAATGGCGAGAAGCAAAAGGAAATTAAGGTGTTTCACAAGAGCTGTATTTATATTACAGCTTTTTTAAAACAGCATTTTCTGAATTACCATAATTAATCTCTCCAACTCATTAAGTCAGAATATAACATGAAGTTCCCCAAGGAAACAAACAAAATGAACTCGAGACTATCTAGCAAGTAAAGAAGCAATTTATTATTAGGACATACTCAGGCTGCTTCCAAACATGAAATCTATTGCAATATCTTGTTTTGTCTTTCTAATACATGTACAGTACACACTAGAGGATAAAACTGCATCATTTAAATTCATGATTGAAAAAAATGCAGTCTATATACAACTTTGTGTTTCATTTGACTAAGACGTAAAGTTGATTTCACCAAACGTAGAGCCAAATTGCAAGTGCTTAAAAAGCAGTGCTCAGAGTATGTTCAGTTCACTGTCCGTAAGTTTATCGGAATAAATATTTGATGGTACATTCTCAGAAATTGGCTACCAACTAAAATCTGTTTGACCCATTTTGAATGAGTAAATTGAAAAGAAAAATTAAAAAGGAGGAAAAAATGCATGTTTATACACTTTTTAAATAAAACCAAACCTTGTAAGTGGACATTAATAACAGTGTCCTGCCTCATTTGTTTTCATGACTTTGAGAACAAGAAGTTCCTGAACATCAGTTATGTATGCTCAAAATAAATGTGACTTTGAAATATATGTTAGCTACTGTACATGTATAGTCAATCCGTCAAGTAGAAGATAACCTTCCTGAAATTCCCACTTGTGACATTTTCCCATGTGCTACCTACACAATCTTAAATTCTAGCTCTGACTATATTTTCTTATGTTTTTCCTATGATATATTCAGTACTTCAAAAATATTTGATGTAACAATCAGGATCAGTTCTCAAGTAGGAGACCCTTTAATAAGTCTCACACTCTGCATTATTGGCTCGGTCACCGGTTCATGTCCTGTTGTCATAGCAAAGGGATGACATAGTTCAATGGCTTCATCTTTTGAATTCCCTAAGACTGCATCAGCACAGGCAAGCCTAGAATGTGATGTTCTTTATGGGCCCCAACATCTTCTTGGTGTCGTGTGTAGTTCATCTCTTCACTGAAGAGAAAAGGAATTCTGAGACACACTTATTAAACACTTTATCAACTTTCTACCATCAGTGCCTGGATTTTCATGCAGTTTGATTTCTCTGGGATAAAGAGACTGGGAGAGGAGAAAAAGCTTCTACAAAAAAATGAATACATAATTATTCACAACTCTAAGATGTGAGGAATTTATTTTTTATTTGTGAAGTTCCTTAATTCACCTCCTTTATTTCAAAACAAATATCTAAGAAGTTATATTCATTTATGTTTCATCTTTTTGCTCCTCAATCACTGAATTTAGTCTAAAATTTTATCACATAGATTATACAGATTCTTGACTCCTGGTAACTGGCATTTGTAGGCAATTAGTAAACCAAGACTTAAAAAAATATGTCTTTATGTAGATGACATGTAGAATAATTGGAACATAGCATCACACCTTCCTGATTGTCTAGAGTACACAAAAAATTAACAGTTAGGTAATGCAATACAAACCCTTACTTGGAATGTTATTTTAGAATAATCCATGTTGCCCATTAAACCTAGTTTTAAATACATTGGTCCAACAAATCTTCCACCCAATATGGTCATCCTTGTATAGAGAGCAAAATAACATGCTATGGCTATATAAATTCAGGAACACTCTTAAAAATCAGAAATCTTCATCAACATGATACATGTATAAAGCTACCAGTCAGTATAAGCCAGAATGTCAACAGAATAACACAAATCTAAAAGAGAACCTTTGTAGATTTTCATTGTGTAGCTGATTGAATGAATGTGATTAGAAATTCACTGAGCTCACTCGGCTAACCAGAGACTACATAAGCCATCAGAAGGAAACGTGGGTGGGAGAAAATGTAACTTACCTTGCACTTACAGGCAACACTGCTGTGAAGTCACAACAGACACAAGTACTGCTTCATTTATAACGGGTAAAGTCTCTTTGGAGAAAATAACCATGTCAGTGCCCAAACTCAGGTATGCCAGTGTATGCCAGGGAGTCAACCCACCCTCCTCTAAATCTTTTCCATGCCATTTTTTTAAAAGTTAGGATAGTACAGGGGCATGAAAATAATTGATCCCTTCAGAGGATTTGCATCCAGTTCAAGAGAGAATATAAGAAAACGAGGACCAACATGTTAAGTTATCATACAACCAAAGGGAAGTAAAACCATTGCAAGTTTACTTGCTTTGAATAGCAGATTTAATGGTGTTCTATGTCATAGTTTAATGCTCTAGGTATTTAAATATATTTTCAATTGACTTTGAGTTGAAAGTTTGTATGTGCTTTGGTGGAACACTTCCTAATTTCTACTCAATAAAAATATGTAACTGTCCATTGACAATAAAACAATAATGATGCCAATGAGCTCCAAACGGTGGATTATCTCCACTGGAAAGCAATTGTGTGTCAGTATTAAAGATATGCAGAACCATATTATTCACTAATGTTAGTTTTTTCATCTGCTTCTGTATATTGTGTTTATAGAGTTACATGACAAGAATTGGTGTAAAGCTACATGTCTTTCCACATTATCTTAGAGGTGAAGTTACTTTTATTTTCCTTCTTTATAATGTGTACTTCAAATGAAGCACCATGCATTTCTTTAAATAACATGCAATTTACTAATTCTTTTTAATTCCATAATTTTAAAAGCATTTATTGTGACTTTAAAAGTGTTGCAAGATAAGGGATTCTGTGGCCGTGGGTAGACTTTTTATACTTTGTTTTATAGATGCATTTTTTTTAAAACTGTAGTTTGTTTAAGTCACCAAACAGCGTCCAAAATCTTAATGTGTTTCATTTGATGTTAGATTGGCAAAGAAATTGGCATAAAATTGGTTAATAGTATTGTCAAACAATTGTGTATTGTGTACTCACTGGGAAAAAATAAAATATATTCACATTTCAAATTTGTAAAAAAGCCATTTAATGTAAAACAAACTTGCTTGTAGACAAACCAAAAAATAGACTATTTTGTCACTTTTAGGTAGGTCTTCACATTAATATTTTGTAGCAAAATGAATAATCTTGTCTTCTAATTCAGGTACGGGTTGAAAAGTGACAGCTAGGAATTGGCATTGACCTATAAAAGTCATTAAAATACAATGATTGAGACCATGACCTGTAGTTGAAATTTCACAGCTCATTCTATTAGCATTGTTTTCCAGATCTGAAGCCTCCACCACACCATAATGACCTTTAGATAGTTAAAATTACCACAAATGTTTCTCAACAGAATTACTTTAATGAATTATTTTTAAGTGTAAGTAAATATGAGAATTACAAGCAAGTACATAGTTCTTAATTGCTTTAGAATAGTTAATTATAATTGTTTGAGATGTTGGATATTGAACAATTACCTCAGGGACAGATGGGTACAAAAGAATAATATTCTATCTTATTGTACTTCATAAATACTTCATCATTCTTCATGGTAAACTACAACTGTAGGATATAATTCTCCAAAAGTAGTTTCTGAGTTTTTGAAAATAATTATCTCAGTAACTGTAAAAAGCAAATGGTAAAAGAGAAAAGATGCATTCATTCATTTAAAAATAGCTTTAAAAACACGTGGTAAATGGACAATACATTTTAGAGATCTATTTAACTTAGATGCATCATAAAATGCTCTTAGAGTAATTACAAATAATGTTGCATTAATATAATATAGTGGTGATACATACTATGTGGGGGTTAAAGATGAAACCTATCAGTTATCAATATGATGAAAAACAGACCAATTACAAAACAAACATTGCTTTATTGAATTTTGTTGTATTGTAGAAACACCTACACATGGCAAAAATACAAAATTATCACAAAGGTTATTTTAAAAAACGCACTATTTTATCTTGATTACTGTAGATATTAGCTTAGGAAAATATATATTTTAATATTGCAGAAAATCATTTATATAAAAATATTATTTAGAATCTTTAATTTGTGAAAATGAATTCTCTCTCTCCCATGGAAAGCAGCAGAGGTCAAGCTAAACTTCACTCTATAACAGAAATGCGAAATGAAATTATGCAATGAAAGAAAACCAAGTTATACGAGTATAAAGGGAAAGGTATATAAAAAGGCTAGCTCGTGACAGACAACATGTTATCCCAAACTCTTTTTTATCTGTATGAATTCAATGCAGTCTCATGGACAGAAGAGTAGGAATTTGATACCTGGAAGTGTCACAAACCTGTCCAGAGTCACAGAAACAGGGGCAAACATATCCTATGGCTATGTGTTTAATTTACAAAGAATTAGAAATATGGCATGTCTTTGCATTTTCTAGTCAACACTTTCCTTTTGCAGTAGTCAAACTACAAGGGAGGGGATATATATATATATATATATATATATACACCTATATTTATATATATATATACATATATATATATATTTACATAAAAACTCACATCCAAGATATCTGACTAGATATAACCAAGATATGTGAATATCTGAATATATATCTATGTTTATAATATTATATGCATGTCTTTAGGTATATATGTGTGTGTATCTCAGATATCTTAACCAAAGAAAGCTACATTTTCACATCAGATACTGTGACCTTATACTAAAATCAATATCCCTTGCAGGTCACTATAACTGCCTTTAGACCATAGTACCATAGTACTCTTTCAAAAAAAATAATACCTGGACAGATACAGGCTTTATAGCACACATTTTTTTTAACAATTTTCAGACAATATTTTTCTAGACCTATTTTTCAATAATTTGTTTCTGTCAAATATAGTTCTTGTTTTTATTCTTTTTTCAAGCAAGCACTGAGACACAGTGTTTAGAATTAAATATTCAGAGTGCTTTAAAAGGAAATAATTCTTGTCTTGAAAAATAGATTAATATCTTTTATTAAATATTGCCCTGATTTTTAAGAAAGTATTGTTTTGAGTAATGTTTTTATGTTAATGGGAAAGACCCAAAAAACAAAGCTTTCAAATACATTTCCATACAATAAATTCTGTGTTAGCATCATTCGTATCTCAAACTCCCATCAAATTACCCTTGTTCTAGTCTTTCTCAAAATAGTATGTGGGATATTAAAAGTTATTTTAAAAACTAAGAAGAGGCTAAAGAACTGGAAGCTCTAGGTTTGAATATATAAACAGTTTTCTACACTGCCTGACTTATTTACACATCTGTCCAAATCTTATGTGACATAAAACCCTTTGTCCTGGGACACCTCCTGGGATTAATACTCTTCCAGAATCTGTAGTACCTATTCTGCCATTAGACTCTTTAGTGACGCCAAAGGTTTCATGCCATACCTTGCTGCATATTTTTTTTAACCAATTTAACTCATGAGAAAGAATCATGCAAATCTCAGGAACTCTGTGAAGGTGATGAGAAAAGTGAGTTATTGAATCATTAAATTATGTTTCAAGAACTTAATTGAGATCAGTACTCTGCGCTTTCTCAACAGGTATGAGTGCATCGTGTTCCTCAGCATTTCCACAATTCTGTGCTCTGAACGCTTGAAATCATTAGGCTAAAACTAAAGCATAAAAATAGACTCATTATCTTTCCCCACCCCCAGTTCATATCTCCTACCTCCCACAAAAGAATAATTATTTATTTTTTAAGACTATTGCTTGATTATCACTAGGCTCTACATTAAGTGGAGTTTTGCTAAAATTAATAATGGATAACACGAAATTTAAGGGAAAAAGACTTATCTCAGTAAGATAATAATAGAATTAAGTCCCAGTAGAATTTGAAATATAGCTAACTAGAAACTACAAAAATCAGAATACTCAGAAATTGCTAAATATAGATGCTCAGAAGTGAAAGTGAAGGGTTACCATTATACAAACTTTCACTGGCAGTGAGTACAAAGATGCTAATATTATCATAGAAATGAAAGTGGAATAGAGAATATAAAGATTTAAATTTGTTTGATTAATTTTGAATGATGGTAGATTGGTGCAATCAATAAATTTAAATATCCTAACAGGGTGATTTAAAAACAATTACCAATGGGTAATGGTTCTACTAAAAGATGAAATAGGCAAATGGAAACAGCCTGGATGGTGAGGGGGGAAGACACATAAGGCTAATATTCAACTTAAGAAAAAGGAGTAATATTTTCAATAAATATGCAACCCTTTCTCATGCAAGTAACCATTTACCAATAATTAAGTTAATCAGTAATAGAGATGTTATTTTTTAAACGTATAAGAGAAATCCTTATATATGCATGGCAACAAAGTATTAAAGAAATAAGTGTGTTCAATATCAGCTAACTCCTACTAAAACTATTTGAATATTATATTACAAGTTAAAAATTGGGCTGGGAATATAACTAGGGCTTGCCTAGTGTGCATGAAGCCCTGGGTTCAATTCCAACACTGGAAAAAAAAAAACATTAAAATCTATGATGAAGATAAGAACTGCTTTTCTCAATGAAGCTCAAGTAGAAAGATAGTTTGGATTTCCTTTGATAAAT